GAAACTTCTTGAGGCCGGAACACATCTGTCATGCATTATTCCGATCCGACTCCGATCATACAATCAGGATCCTTCTTGGAACAGGGAGCAGCGTTCCCAGGAGAACGAGTGTTCCGTCTTTCTCAATTATATGCAACTGATAATAGGATTGTATGATCGGAGTCCGATCGGAAGAATGCATGATAGTTGTGTCCCGGCCTTTAGGCGGCAGTCTGATATTTCGACGAGAATATGGAGAGTTATTTAAAAGACGCATCACGTAACGTCACGTTTTGGCAAATTTCGTTACACGAGAGACGAGAGAGAAGGAAGATATAACGTAGACTGTAGAGAGACGGCGAAAGCGAGCCAATGAAAATGACACGAGGAACGCTTGACACAATCCAAGGATTATAAGCAAAGAGGATTGCCAAATGCTGATACCCTTGTATCTTGTATGATACCTATTAGGCTCGGCGCAAAATGAGATGCAGCTTAGTGACGTGAGACAGCGTGAGTCACTGCGAGTTTTTGTGAACAGTAAGAATCAATGTAAGAATAGACTTCACAGCGACCAGCAGCGTGAAGTGACGCAGATTTGGTCCTGCGGAACGTAGTGTACTTGCCGCAGTTTTTCTCGTAGAGTCACGGTGCGTGTTTTGAATGTTACAAAAATTAATTGAGGCCGTGCGGATTCGACAAGTTTTGTATGATACAACCCATAGAGACTATATGCGAACAAAACTAAAAACTGAAAAGCAGCAGCAAAGTTTAGCAGCAGCTACCATTTTATCTGCACTGTGGGTCTGCCTACAAAGTGAAAAGTGCCATTGTAATTGCGCGGTTACTCTTGTCAAGCGCCGATACCCTTGTGACGTCAATACAGATGCGCGTTTATCTTTTATATAGCCTTCTGTCTCTATACCTCGACTCATGCGCTGAGTCCAAAAGTTCTATGAGGAAAGGAATAGTTTTTAAGAAGTTTTACTTCTTAACACGTGTACGATGCTACATTAGATTTCTTTTATGTTGTAATAAAGTTGGGAAAATTAGGAATGTCACCCCCCCCCCCAAACGTGAGGCCTTCGCTACGTCCCTGCATGTTGCCATTTTCCATCAAATTAATTTGAAATTTCACTTTGAGGTTCTTTCCTTTCTTTTTTTACATCAGCAGTTTCCAGATTTTCCCATCGATTGTCGATGACGCCAAAATCAATTTCTAGTATCAATACAGATATCGGTATTTGAATGATGAATGTGTAAAACATCTAAAATTATCTCTTTGCTGTGAAAGCAGTGGCGTTTTGATAGGTCATCAACTCAAGAAAGAAAAAATCAGTTTAATTTTCCTTTATTGCAGGAATGTCTCATTGAAATGCTACAAGACATGTTTGGTGAAGACTCTGTACCAAAAATATTCAAAGGAGAAAAATTGTACGTCACTGTCAATGAAAAGCGCGCCGACATCGATTTGGTGAATTTGGTAAGACATTTTTTTATTTTCTTTTAAAAATATTTCATTGATAAAAATTGTTTTAGGACGTCAAATGCACCAGCGATGAAACTTTCCAGCAAATTGTCCAGACTGCTGTGACGAAGTTGTATCAAAGTTTAGCTCCCCCACAGATAGAATCTTGATGATCATCAATTAAAATTGCAACTTTTTATATTTTATAAGTTGTTTTTTTTCTTATACTTATCTTTAATAAATACATGATAATAGAAGGTATTTTTGTTTTATCAACGTTTTTTTGGTTGTATATTAAGAAGGGTAAACTACCTTGAAAAATTTGTACACGAAAATCCCACTGAAATCTCGCACAATCCTACTGGAATCCCACATAGGTACTTGTACACTATAATTTCCAGATGGTTTACCTCTAGTAATACAAGTAATGACTAGGGATTAATTTTAGAGTCACTTGTGAATAATGTCAGCATACAGCAAAATATACTTGCTGAAGTTGTGAATATAGAAATATAGAGGGTTTATTTTACACAGTTGAAATTTAAATTGGGATTCTCTACATAATGGCTCAGATACCACAACAATTTTTCCAAAGAAATAAAATTTATTCTTACATAGTCAAAAATAAAACAAACATACATTATTTATTCTTATACAAGTATATACTTCTCGAAGCAAATAATTGTGATGGGATTAAAAAAATTGCGGGTGTATTTTTTGATTTAAGTCGAACGCCAGCTTTTGATACATTAGTAATAGTTTATTAAATTGAAATATGCAATAGGTATATTATTTTTACATGTACCGAATGTTTACGTATCTCGAACTACAAAAACAGAAAGATTTTTCCTCTGTCCAGTTTGGACTACCATTTTCTTTGTAAAGATTCAAATACACAAAAAAGATTATAATAACCGAACAATACATTATGTTTTTTCTTATTTATCTTACATTGTAACTTTATTACAAAATAAATTGTGGCAAAAATAATAATAAAAACTTGACTAGAGTAGAATAATTCAATAAACGAATAATTAATGACTCGATATACTACCCAACATTAAGTTAAATACTTACAAATTTATTATTTTTTTTTTATTTTTTTACACAACAAATTTTTATCGCGTTTTTAAGAAACTGGCAGTAGTTTACTATAGGCGAGAGAAAATATAATAGGCAATAAATTAAATTAATTAAACTGGATTGTTGTAATAAAGTAAATGATATGCTTTTCATACAAAACTAATTGACAGTAAAATCCACTCACGTCTTTAGAATATGGTGTCATAAAAACGCGATAGTTATTACATGTACTAATTTTTTTGTTTTAACTAGAAATGGATGATTGTATTTTACCAATGATGTTTGTGTGGTCGTTTAAAGGGCTTGAAATCGAACAATATTGTTCAATCATAATATAAATATACAAGTTGATATACAAATCTGATTATTTTCAGGAATGTTTTACATAAAATGCACGTTTTAAAATCACACAGTATAGTTTGATTAACTTTAATCGAAAATTGTCAACAAGCTATACGAGTTCAATTAAAGCCAACAAACTTTTACTGTAACAATATGCCAAAAAATTAACATAGCTACACCCTACATAAAATGACTTGAAGCTACTTTATTTTATTTAGTTTAAGCGCCATATATTTTTATGTACACTTTAAAAGGTATATAAGGTATATATTTTAACTTTTTAAATGTTTGTATTTTTAGAATTGGCGAAGGTAATTAATTGTTTACAGAGATTCTCTTATAGTTGTAGCATTTGTAATCCTTGTGACAGAAAAACTAAACTAAAGGAAAGCTGGACAGCACTCCAAAGTCAGCGAAATATGTGAGGATTTCGTTTATGTTAAAATGACCAGGAAAAAGTTTGGAACAAAGGTACCAGAAGAACTCTTATATACACAGATGTTTGTGGGCCTTCAAAAGCGAAGTATCTATAGCCAATACTTTGTGTTCTTCAAGGATGATTTTCCGTTGTTATTATTATCTTTACTTTCTGAAAAATCTGAAGTTGCGGAAAAAATGGAAATTATGTTAACTGAAGTAAAAACAGTAGAAGAGCTACTCTTAGATAATGATGGAGAATTGCTACAAGAAAGTGGAATCACAGAGACTTGTAATGTCTTATACATCAAAGTAAAACAATTGTGCAGAGTGAGATAATCGTACTATCGTTGAAACTGCTAGATCCATCCTGTATACTAATGAAGATCTTCCACAACTTTTTTGGGCTGAAATAGAAAATACATCGGCGTACAGGGTGTACCAATTATAGCTATATTTCTTCAATATTGAGGTTTAGACGTTGCTAAATATAGATAGACTGTTGATTCTCCATGACAATGATATACCTATGCTATAATTCTTAACTACAAATTACAGTAACTTATTATCAGGGTCCTTATTGTTGAAAAACGGGAGCAGCGTTCCCAGAACGAGTGTTCTGTCTTTCTCAATGATATGCAAATGACAATATAAGGAACAAAGACCAAAACACACGTTCTCTTGGGAGCGCTGCTCCCCTGTTTCAAGAATAAGGACCCAGGTGTATAACAATCCCCACATTTACACCTTTCCTCTACTTGTAAAGGTGGAAGCTGTAGGGTGTCAATATATAAAAAAAAACACCCTGTACTTGAACAATAACTTATTATATAAAGTCGGAATTTGTAAGATTATTCACGTTTTGTCAATTTGCCTTTAAACAGGAATTGAGGAATTAGTAATGTTACTTTACCAAACTAGTAACATAATGTGACAAGTTATTGAAGTACAAATGAGTGAATTGTTGCGGAACTTATGGGTGGACCTCTACTCACCAATATACTGTTGAACTGTTCAAGTAAGGCAACTCACATTTGAGTGAATCAGGTTAGTATCGCTGCGCTCGTCCCGCAGCCATCTATTCATCAATGTGTTGTTCAATCACGATACTAACCTGATTCACTCAAATGTGAATTATTCTCATTAGTTTAAAAAGTACACGTTTCAGGTGAGTGTCTTATTTGAACAGTTCAACAGTATACTGATGAGTAGAGGTCCATCCATAAGTTCCGCAATAATCCACTTAGTTGTACAGGGTGTTTTTTTATATATTGACACCCCACCTTCAGCCTTTAACTTTACAGGTAGAAGAAATGTGTAAATACAAAAGTTATACAGTATTAGCTAAATTTTTAGAAACCATGGTCAGAAACAAAATTTGAATGTCAGAAATGTGCAATTTTGCATGCTTCCAGCTTTTTTCAAATGGGATGCCCTATATTTCATTTTATATTCTTGAAAGAAGGACTTCCATTTAAAAAAGTCAAGTTACATATGGCATCTCAGAAACCGTAAGCTTGGCAACATTGCAAATACCACCATTGAATCGGACATTCCCAAAAACCCCCAAGTAGTAAATATGGTACATTTTTCGTGAGTGCGTTCTGAAATATTAGGCTGTTTCCAAACATAACGACAACCCTGTACATTTTGGATAGAACTGGTAATTCTTTTATCGAAGGAAAATCTCCATTTGAACTGTGGTATGAGAAAAAGCCGTCCTTAAAACACATGAGAATTATTGGAACATCCTGTTATGCCCTTATGTACCAAAGTCAGGAAGAAAGAAAATTGATAAAAAGACAGTGAAAGGCATACTTATAGGATGATGGATATCAGATTTGGTGTGAAAAATCTAAGAAACTGAAACTAGTCAGATCGAGCGGTGATATTCGACGAAAAACTCATAATTTTAACGTTGTCATTGCTAAAAGACCCTGTTGGAACTTTTCAGCAAAACCCATTTTAAGATTGTCAGAAGCAGGGAAGGTACCTACTCCAGAACAAGAAACTAAAGAAAACAATGGACATGAAGATATCGTTTGGGGAATCACAGTTTTTCTGACACTCATTCTGTCATCTTAGTAGAATCACCAAATAATGACATGTCAGAAGAAGTCCCAAATGTACCGAGTAGACAACTGAGAGATAGAAATCAGGTTTAAAGATTTCGCTATGATGGTTGCTGCAAATATTATAGAAATAAATGAGCCAACTACGTACCGAGAAACTATGTCAAGTAACATGACTGGAAAATGGCTATGGAGTATGGAAAGAGAAATGAAGTCTTCAGAGAAAAACTATGTTTCAACTTTAGGAAAGCTCGAGGGGGAATCCACCTACCTAATTTTGTACACCAAAAATTCTAAAATTCTGAAAAATGCTAATTTTCATGTTATTATTGTCCCAAAAAATTCTAAAAATTCTAAAAAATCCCAACAAATTGGGCAAGCTCTTGAGCATGCGCAATAGATAAAAATTCTAAATTATTTCGAAAAAATTCTAGTTCAATTCTAAAAAATACTGAATAATTCTAGAAATTGCTAGAAAATACTAAAAAATGCAAAAAAATACTGATAATTCTGAAAAATTCTAAGAAATTCTGAAAAATTCTACCAGTTTGTACAGGGTGATGTCAAAAGTCTTTAACTAAGGTAGTTTTAGACAAACAGGGTGCGTCAAAAAAGTGCAGCAGTGTAAAGTTATATTTTTTTAAATGGAACACCCTGTATATTATGCGCTTATTTGTTAGTCCCCTTATCAGTCCCAGCACCATACCAGATATGATTTCAACGATATACGGTTTGATATGTTTATCTCTCGGTTTATCTTCAATAGTTATAGGGAAAAACGCGAAAATCCCTTGCTAGGTCGCTCATGTTATTTTTTCAAAAATAATAATAATAACGTAGACACCTGGATTTATTATAATATTTCACCTTGTATATTAATGAATAAAATTTGAACAATAAACTGTTCATAAAAAAAATTCTCTAAAGCTTAAATGGTATAATTTTTCTTTTTTCAATATGAAACCTTGAAAGAGGTTTTCACTCGGGTTTTCATGTTTTTTCCTATAAATATCGAAGATAGACATATCAAATCGTATATCGTTGAAATCAGGTTAAAAGGGACTAACAAATAAGCGCACAATATGTGGTGTTCCATTTAAAAAAACTTAGTTGAAAACTTTCGACAATTTATTGAAACTTTTGTATTTGACACTTTTGTCAAATATATCAAATGAAAAAGTTAGAAGGGGGTGACATTATAATAGATCACCCTGTACACCAAAATTCTAAGAAGGTTTCCCGCTCGGGGGAACCCACCTTCCTAATTTTTTACACCAAAAATTCTGAAATTCTGAAAAATGCTAATTCTCGAAAAATTCCAAAAAATTTCCAAAAATCCCTACAGATTGCGCAGTGCGCATGCTCTTGAGCATGCGCAATAGGTGAAAATTATAAATTATTTCTAAAAAATTCTAATTCAATTCTAAATAATACTAAAAAAACTCTAAATAATTCTAGAAAATGCTAGAAAATACTAAAAAATGCTAAAAAATACTAATAATTCTAAAAAATTCTAAGAAATTCTAAAAAATTCTAAGAAATTCTAAAAAATTCTATCAGTTTGTACACCAAAATTCTAAGGTGGTTTCCCCCTCGGGAAAGCTACCCAATGGTGAGAAGGCTATACCAAATAAATAGGCATACAAGGTAAAATACCATCCAGATAGCCCTATAGATAAATTCAAAGCCAGATTAGTCGCAAAAGGTTATTCATAGAAGAAATATCAAAATTATGATGAGACATTTAGCCCAGTTGCAAGATTTGCTACAATATGATCAGAGCTGGGCAGTAGCTAGCTACCAAGTAGTTAAGCTACTAGCTTAGCTACTTTTTTGGTAGCTAATAACTTATTCAAGCTACTTTGAAAAAAAAGTAGCTTGTAGCTGTAGCTTTTGGTAATGTGTTTCAAGTATTCATAAGCTACTGTGAAAAGTAGCTAGCTACTAAAACAAGCTACTTAAGCTACTTTTGGTAGATAGTTAATAGTTATTTAGGTATTAATGGCGGAAAGTGTCATTTACCGCCCTAGGGTGTGGTTAACGATACTCAACGCCCAAAATACTTATTACGTTTTATGCGCAGCGGACTCTTCTAGTTCAAAAATAAAATAACTATACCTATAATACAGAGTGGCAAAAAAGTCGCGCATAATACCTGTAACTTTTTAATTACCTCGTATACGAAAAAGTGACCTTAATGAAAGTTGCTTAGTAAATTATTTCCCACATTTCTACCTGAACAAATTGTTTTTGTCACTTCTGGTTTGTTTGCTATCCAGACCAACTTTGTTTTTTCAAATGAAACACCCTGTATGTGATTGAATATTTGGATTCTACGTAAAATTCTGAGTAGATTTCATGTGATATAACCCTCTATAACTAAGTTCAACTGTTTTGGAAATATTGACAGTTGAAAATTAACTTTTTTGCAACTTTGATAGCGCGTAAAACCCAAATGGTTAATTTTAGAGGAAAACCGATTTCACATTCCTATCTTAGATTTTCATAAGCTATCATTTGACACAAAATACAGGGTGTTTTATTTGAAAAAACAAAGTTGGTCTAGATAGCAAACAAACCAGAAGTGACAAAGGCAATACGTTTAAGTAGAATCGTGGGAAATAATTTACTAATGGCCATTTGCACCGCTATCACTTAAGGGATATTAAAGGGATATTTAATTTGAGTGGAGCTTTTGAATGTGACTTTTGTTTCTACGAGAATCACATTCAAAGCTCCACTTAGATTAAATATCCCTTAAGTTATAGCGGTGCAAATGGCCGTAAGCAACTTTCATTAAGGTCACCTTTTCGTATACGAGGTAATTAAAAAGTTACAGGTATTATGCGCGACTTTTTTGCCACTCTGTATAATGGCATCCATTCGACATTGTTTTCAAAAATAAACAGTTTTCCCCTTATAAAGGCACGTTTCCACCAACCTATCGCCCGCGTTTGAATTTACCACTCGATAAAAGTAACTTTATACTTTAATTGCTCAAGCTACAATTATCATTTTCCGGAAAACTCTTATCCTGCCTTGCTAAGACTAGTTTCTAGTTATCTCTGTAGGTACCTATGTTTTATGTGTCCTATTTTATTCTCGCATTCGCAGATCACTGTGATCAAAGTGAACCTAATAAATTAATGTCCTGTGGTTTTTGACAAAAATCTGAATACTACTTCTTAAGTTAATATGTTATTTTCGTATGATGATATTATGAAATTAAATTAGGTAAGGCATGTACATTGATAAAAGTAGCTTAAATAGTAGCTTTCACTAATTCAGAATGTAGTTAAATTACTAATAGCTTAGCTACTTTTTCAAAGAGGTAGTTGAGCTACTGAGCTTAGCTACTTACAATATAAAGTAGCTTGTAGCTTGTAGCTAGCTACTTTTTCCAAGTAGCTTGCCCAGCTCTGAATATATGATCTGTTTTGAGTCTATCTGCCAGTGAAAATTTAAATCTAAGCCAGTTTGATGTATGTACAGCATTTCTATATGGTGAGCTTCAAGAAAAAGTATACATGAAACAGCTAGAGGGTTTTAATAATGGTACAGATAGGGTTTGTCATCCAAGAAAGATCCTATATGGACTTAAGCAAGCTCCTAGATGCTGGAACAAAAAAATAACCGATGCCAATCCATTTCTTTTCATCATGAGGGCAGGAACAGACATTCTTATTTTAGTTTTATATGTGAACAATGGTCTACTAGCCTCGAGCAATGAGGAAATGAAAAAATATTTTCTACAACAACTCCAGATAAAGTTTAAAGTCACGATAAAGCCTGCATCAGATTTTTTGGGTATGGAAATCATGAAATTCAAAGAATGGATCAGTTATCATAAATCAAAAAGGAATTGTTGAAAAAAATTTGGTATGAACAATTACAAACCTATCAAAACTCCAATTGTTAAGGATAATTCTCCTTCAGAAGAAGCAGAAATATCAAATTTTTCATATAGAGAGGCTGTTGGAGCATTACTTTACCTGATGCCAAGTCTGAAAAATCCAAGTCAAAGACTTTGTCCAAGTAAAGAGAAATTTCCCTTACATTCATTATGTTATCACTTACAGGCCAAGAACCAAAAGAGGTTACCTACAAGGTTTTAGTGATACTGATCATGGAGGGGATATAAAAACAGGACGTTCCACAACACGAGTGATATGTGTTTATGCTGGAGGTGTTATATCCCTTGTATGGTTCAAAAAATTATATGAAAGAAATTCCAGAATTATTAGATAACAACGAAGCAGTTATTCATTTGTCACAAAATTCTGGGAACCACAAGAGAACCAAGCACATTCAAATTCGACATCTTTATGGCTTGTCCTAGAAGAAATTTTAAGTATACACAAAACATCTTACAGAAACTCAAGTTGCTAATATAATGACAAAAATCTTGATCAAACCAGTGCATTTTGGAATAATTTAAAACAATTTAGAGTTATTTCAGAACAATTAGGATTTAATTTAGAACAGGAAAACTATTAGAACTCTTTTAAACCAATCTAGAACACTTTGGAGCTTCAAATAGGGTTCCAAAATACTTAAAAATTTGTCAGAACGTTCCAAAAACACTTGCCAGCAATATTTTGAAAGGCTTCAGAACAATTCAAAAACCTCAGAATTACATATTTCAAAGAGCATAGCGCCTGGAATAGACAAAAATTGAAAGTTATATAATGAATAATAATAAGGAGCATCTTTAAGATTTTTGTATACTGTCTGGAAACTGTACAAAATTTCATAAAAGAATTTCTAAAACTACAATTACCATCGCCAAAACTATGAGAGGCAAAATTATTTTAGAACACATATTTATTGAGAACAATTTTTTTTTTTGTGTGTTTGAGACACCAGTGTCTCACATACAAAGAAACTACACAGTACCATACCCATTCTTTTTCTTTTACTACTTGAGCTTAAATTATTTTTGGGTCCACACAGATAAATTGAACGACTTTTGGTATATTTTGTCACAAAAGTGTATTGCACTAAAAGATTTTTTTTGAGTCAAAATATACCTGGAAGTAGCCTTTCTTATATTTATTTATAGTAACATTTTGGTAAACTAACTAAACTAATATACGCAATAATATTACAGAAACATAAATAACATTTATTTAGACTTACATAAAGTATAATAATTTACAAAAAAAAATAAATGCACAAAATGGCACAAAGATTGTATGTTTTTTCCTTTACACATTCAAATTCTCATATTTAGGATAGCAAATTTGTGCTCAACTTTTTTTGTACAACTTGAATAAATGTGCGCTTTTGCTTGAAAGCCTTATGTGCGAAATTGAATTATTTTTGTTCATGTGAATTATAGTTTTGGTAGTTGACACAGGAAAATAATTTTGTAAGGAAGCACATTTTTGTCTTCTGAATTATACCCTGTGTTTATTTCACTCACTATTAAAAAATCTAATATAAATTTGTTATTTTTTGAAAAATCTAAACTTCAGGAACATATAAGTAGCTTTCTTATTACTCATCATGCTTTTACTACTTTTTTTGTATTTTCCTGTGCAATCTACAATAAATTAAATATACAAAAAAATAAACCATTTATACATTGATTTTGTCTCACTCAGCTTTTGGTGCGCCACATTAGAAGTTTCAATCACTTTATTAGAAACAGGAAAAACTTAAAAAATGCGCCAAACACAAAAAAAAAAAAACTTCTAAAGTTAAATAAATAATAATTATTTTGTTTTCCTGTTCTTGTGTGTTTTGACCAAAAATTGGTCCAATAGCAGCGCCTTTTTTTCTTAAACAAATAATTTCATACACGCAATAATACAAGAAACAAATCGCTTCGGTTTTTTCCTTATTTAATACGCTTTTTTTTTACTTAAACTAAAACTTAATACAGGCCACAGTTGCGCAAGTTGTTCGCTATGATGACGTCTGTAACTGCGTCGAACACAAACTGAATGTTGTGAGTGTCTGTGGCGCAAGTCATGTGGCAGTAAATCTCTTTGGTGGTGGATTTGTTTTTCGCCTCGAACTGAGCTTGGATGTATGCCGCCGCTTCACCATATTCTTGCGCACCTTAATTGGACAGAAAGAACACCTTGTATAAATTGAATACACAGCTACATAAATATATATCATTCAACATTGCCTCACAAAATCGTTCATGACACAAATTGATATTTCAAAAATATATATTCTTGATCAGAATTGAATTCTCTTTAAGATAAAACCAAATTGAATCATTTATCTCGGATAGTTTTTGAGATATTGAGCCTCAAAGTTGAAACTCAGTCTCAAATTTTGGAAAACCTTTAAAGCTGATTATTTCGAAAACAAAGCCCTAGGGCTCGGTGCCTCAAATAACCTTTTTTGAAGCCCCAATCGAGATCTACATTTTGCCAAAATAGCTTTTCTGGTTTTCAAGATATGGCTCTTTGAAATATTTGAAAATGAAATTTCCTTGCACACCCCTTAGAAAACTTTCAATTTTAATTTTTCGAGATTTTTCAATTTTTGACTTCACTAATCGAAAGAGGAGGTCAAATTTAGTGGAAGAGCATTTTCGTGATTTTTATTTTCGAGATTTTAGGGCCTGTAAAAAATTAAAAATGATTTTTGCATTTTTTGTCTTAAATTTTTTTTGATCTTCCAACATTACTTCACAAAATCGCTCATAGCTCGATTGATTTTTCATAAATTCTAATGCATGTTTATGTATTCTCAATCAGAATTGAATGCTCTTTAAGATAAAACAAAATTGAATCATTTATCTTGAATAGTTTTCGAGATATTGAGCCTCAAAGTGGAAACTTCGTTTCAAATTTTGGAAAACCTTCGAAGCCAAATATCTCAAAATCAAAGCCCTAGAGCTCGGTGCTCCGAATAACCTTTTTTAAAGCCCCAATCGAGATCTACATTTAGCCAAAATTTCCTGCCGATAGCTTTCCTGATTTTCAAGATATGGCTCTTTAAAATATTTAAAAAACTAGATACATCACCCAAAAATTTTATAATATATTACAGAATGTCCGAGGTCTGCGTACTAAACTTAGATCTCTTCAACATGCCGTATTGACTTCGGACTACGATGTTCTAGTCTTAATTGTAACTTGGCTATCTGAGGATTTTTTGGATGCTGAGCTGGGTCTGGTGAACTATACTGTGTTTCGAAAAGATGGATCCGAGGCCACTTGTGTCCATAGGAGAGGGGGAGGTGTCTTGATCGCTGTCCACAACAATAATAAAAGTTCTCAAATAATGGTTTTTCCAGAAATTGAACAGCTGTTTGTTATGGTGGGCACCGGTGGGCGAAAATGCATAATTAATAGTCTCTATGACCAGTTTTATAGTTTGGCCACAAATCAGAAGTAAAAAACTACAGACCCGTTAGTATCTTGAATACAATACCCAAATTATTCGGAAACATTATAACCGAGCATCTGACCGAGTCTCTTGGTGGTTTGATTATGGATCAACAGTTTGGGTTTCAGTCTGGAAGGTCCACCGAAATTAACCTGCTTTCGTATGTTGACTTTCTGTCGGAGACCTTGGAGAATGGCGATGAGGTGCACTCTGTCTACACTGACTTTTCCAAAGCTTTTGACAGGATCAATCATAAGGTTCTATTATCTAAACTTGAGACGGCGGGCATCAGCGGAACTTTGTTGAAGTGGTTTGGAAGTTATCTACATGATCAGTGTCAGATCGTTAGGGTTCATAATTTTAATTCCAAAGTCATTAAGGTCACATCAGGTGTACCCCAAGGGTCACACCTGGGCCCATTACTTTTCAACTTATTCATTAACAATATTCAGAACTGCTTTAAATTTTCAAAATTCCTTTTGTTTGCTGATGATCTTAAGATATTTCTTAGAGTTGGCTCCCATCATGATTGTGAACTCATTCAGTCAGATTTGAACAGCCTCGTGAGATGGTGTGAGCAGAATGGTATGGATCTGGGCATTTTGTTTGATCGGTCACTCACATTTATCCCGCACATACCATCAATAAGATCCAAAGCACTCAAGATGCTGGGATTTTTGAAGCGATCTTTGATTGATTTTCAAAATGTATCTGCTCTAAAGTCACTATATTGCTCATTCGTGAGATCCCACGTAGAGTATGCATCCTCAATCTGGAATCCTTTTTATGAAACTCATGTAAATGCGTTGGAAAATATTCAGCACAAATTTCTCAGATATGCAGCATCAAGGGTCGCCAATGATTATGCAATTAATTATCCTGAGCTTCAGACTGTCTTGGGACTATCCTTGCTGAAGGCTCGCCGTGAACAGCATGACTTGAAGCTTTTGTTTAATGTTTTGCATCATGTTTATCATTGTCCAGATTTATTATCAAGAATAAATATTCTTGTTCCACCCAGGACTACACGCTCCAATGTTACATTTCATCAACCCTTTAACCGTACAAATTATGGCTTTAATTTATTTTTGCCTAGGTCTAGCAGATTGGCTAATTTTTACTCAAATGAGTCGGACTTTTTTTCTTCCTCCTCCAGTTTTTATAGGGATTTGAAGGCAACTGTGATCTGAATGTAAACTAATAGTCTAAGAGCCAGCGCCGGAAAAAATTCTCTGAGTTTACAAAAGCTAGTTTTTGGACAGTTGGACATACCGCGGTCAGTCAAGCGAAACTTGGGACAAGGACCCAGGGTGTCTTGTTAAAGGTGTCGAGATAACTTGGGTAATGCAACGAATTTACTAAAGCTGAAAATCGTTATACATATTATATACAGGGTGATATTTTAAAAACTTACAATGGATATATCTCAGGAACCAAAAAAAATATAAAAAATCGCTGAAAATTATTTCTATAGTAGGGAGGGGGAAACAAAATTATGTAATAACTTACTTGTTTTCACTCACCCCCTCACCCCCACCCAACAATAGTATATTACAATCCGAGACGGAAAATACTTCATTGCTGGTCGAGAGGTTATTATAGTTTATCGAGACGCGAAGCGTCGAGATAAACTCAACCTCGAGACAGAAATGAAGTTTTCCGTCGAGGTTTGTATACTTTTTTATTTTCAACCCTTAATTTTCTGATGCAAAAACTAAAGATTCTGTTATACGAAATTTTCATATAGTGTAAAACTGGCCTTAGAAAAAAATATTTCACTTTTTTTGTCAATGTCATCAATTTTGACGATCTCAAAGGCCCTGTAAAGGCCAAAACAAAAGACGAAACCACAGGAAACCGCAAAATCAACAACCATAGATAAGATCAACAACGCCTTAACGACGGTAGTTTTCGCTCAGTATTTTTGCGGAAATAATAGATTTTCACTAGATTTCTCCCCGTTCTCCCCAAAGAAATGATTTCGGAAAGTGAAGATGAAGCGATGGATTGTACCCCACCTGAATTAAAAGAAGCAGCAGACAGGATTGGAGAGAGTTTGCTTCCAGCAAAAAGCAAATTTCGGTACGAAAAGGCTTTTCAAATATTCGAAGCATGGTGTAGCCAGAAAGGAACGAGAAATACTGCCTCGGAGACCGTTTTGTTGGCGTATTTTGGCGAATTATCTAAGGAAAAGAAGCCTTCGACTTTATGGTCGACTTACAGTATGTTGAAAACCATGATTAAATTGAAAGAGAAAGTTGATATCTCCAATTACGCAAAACTTATAGCTTTTTTGAAGCGGCAAAATCTGGGCTTTCAGCCGAAAAAGTCGAGCGTTTTTTCCAGAGAAAACATTAACGAGTTCCTCACGAAGGCAGCTGAAGAATTCATTAGCATCAAGGTAGGTTTTCAAAAAATATACAAAGAAGATAAAAATGCGAAAATCAAAATGATTTTCTGTATGCTATAGCTAGGTTACCCATTTTATTTTTATCTGGTTTCAGGTAGCGCTAATTGTTGGTGTGTCGGGTGCATGTAGGAGCGATGAACTAGTCAAGATGAAAATGGAGCACGTCAACGTTTTGGAAGGAAAGATCGCTATAGAAATTCCACACACAAAAACTTACACAAGTCGATCGTTTATCATAAGCGATCCAGATTGGGTTGCTATTTTCCACAAATACCTCACTTTGCGGAAAAATTTGAAAAATGACAGGTTATTTGTTCAATGGCGAAATGGGAAATTACATAACCAAGCAATTGGCTATCATTCAATCTCAAAATTTCCACATAAAATAGCTGCTTTTTTGAAGCTTCCAAAAATTGAAACTTTTACAGGGCATGCTTTTCGTCGTACTTCCGCAACCTTATTGGTTGACAACGGGGCCGATCTATTGCAACTCAAAAGACTGGGAGGGTGGAAATCGAGCACGGTTGCTGAAGGCTACATAGAGGCATCTTTGGAGAACAAAAGTAAGACTGCTCTGATGCTATCCTCTACTTCCAAAGGTATTCAGTTGTCCAGTGCATCCACAAGTACATCACATGCGGAAACTCATCCGCAAGCGCAAGAGATAATAGTTCCAAACGAAACACAATTCCAACAGGATGGTCTCAAGATTTCCATTATAAACAACAATGCTAATTTAACAATTAATGTAAATAAGTGAATAGATTTAATTAGTTCCATGTAATACATGTGGTTTTATTATTATATGTGAGAGCTGTATGAAAATTATCAATTTGGAACGAGCAGGGAAATGGGGACGGAAAAGCATTTGCCGTCCCGGACGGAAAATGCTTTTCCGTCCTAGGCAGGCATATGCATTACCGTCCCGATAAATGTCAAAGTCCAGAAATGTGACACTTTCAAGATTTTGAAAAACCTGCAATGTCAACATTACATATGTGGTTGAAAATAAACACAATTACATTCCAAAGACGTACCATCGTCACCAAAAGTAACTGGGACAGCATCACATTAGTGTCCTATTACATGAATTTTATTGTCAAATATTTGTCAAACTATGAATTAAATGCATTGAAATGAATGACAGTAAAATTAGTCCAGGAGATTATTATACATTATTTGTGTCCCAGATACTTTTGGTGACGATGGTACATAAGGTGTAACGTTATGACATACTGTACGTTTGTAAGACGTCGATTTTAGAGCCAAGTACGTCTTGAAGACGTAATGGGCAAGTCGTATG